CAAAGAATGTGTTCATGTTTTTAATTAATTTATAAAGCCACAACAAACTTTATTGTTGCATATTATATTGTTATATACAATGGCATTATATTTTGTGCAGGGAATTAGCTTATTTTGTTGTAAAAAGCTTGAGAATGCCACTGAGTGGTGCAGGGGTGACGTCACTTCTTAGGCCCAGCTGCACTTCGCATCGCCCTGGTTCCCTCCACAAAAACCCAATAGGATTTTCCCAAAGGCTTTTGGATTATCGCTAAAAACAAGATCTGTGATCAACTAACGTTTATGATACTTGCACATTTTGTCCATCAAGATAATTATCACAGATGAACACAACTTTTGTGAATTTTTCAGTCGCCAGAATTAAAAAGCTAAAGGTAGGCTACAACCTAACTACACCACGGTCCCACGACTTCAACGTCACCACCACTAGCTTCCTACAACTCTGTCAGTTTTTATCTAAAAACATTTTCCCAGAAAGTTTGTGTTAGAATTGTTTATAAGAGTACAATTATGAACGTAACGATGCTGTAAAAGCGGACTAAGTTTACCTGTTCGGCGTGATGATGTTTAATCTCCTCGACAGCCTCTGTAGTCACATTTAGCCTTTTTCAAGACACGTAACAGCTTCAAGAAATCACAAGTGGGGTAATATTGATGTATTTTATGGGTGCTTCTCATTTCTTATTTGTGCATCCTCGTTACTGTAATATTTGTGGATGAACAATAACACACGCAGAGACGGAGCCAAGTTGAGTGCTGTTTTACTTCTGGTACAACTCTGATACAGATCATATCCGGGCGAGAGTGTCCCCACCCCTTTACCGTATTTCCTCTAATACTGATACTATCATTACCATACAGTATAAACTACTACAGTTACCTTTCCTCGCGTCTCAGCTCCTCCGCCTGTAGGATGCGAGGGAAGAAAAGGAGGACGGAGGAATCGAAGGAAAGCTTATTAATATTTTGGAATACTTGATTCCTCGAGCATCACAGCGTCATCAGCAGCGCTCAAAGGATTTCCCCTTTAAGAAATTCATAATAAATTCTAATAAAGCAAGATACCTTGTTGAAATATGTGTGATGTGTGGTTTATATATACTGCAAAGGTAAAGTATAAATTAAAATGATTGTGACAGATGTGAAGGGAGGGGGGGGGGGGGGGGGGGGATTTATATGTGTGTCACGTTTAGTCGATAAAACACTTCCGCATATATAGGATATATATCATGACTCCTCTGGAAGCCTCCTCGCTCCTCGATCCTCGCCTCCTCACGGTGCAGTTAGAGAGTTGAGATGTCCATCAAGATGGCTGAGCTTGATCGGTTTGCGGGTCATAGGATGGAGGACGGAGGAGCGAGGAGACGAGGAGGGATATAGAGAAGCACCCTTTGCCATAGAATAAAACGTGAAAGTGACGTGGTGATGTCATACCTGCCCAACACTAGACAGCTTTAGAATATTGTCTTTGAGCTTCTGTTTATGCTCTGTGTATTTCAATGGCCTGTGGAGCCCCTGGTGGAGGAAATTCCACCAAAACGGGTCTTTGGACCTTCCACTGCAACCAGGATCATCTCCAGTCGTCTTGACTATGTCTTGCCACTGGGTACAGATGAGGCTGGTCGAGAGAGTGAGGTTGAATGCTGCGCAAATCACCCTCACTTAAATCCAAGTTCTCTGCGCAAGTCATGGCACTTTTTCTTACCATCGTCATTATCCAAGTCCTGTGGCGATGGGTGAGCGACGAAGCAGCAGGCACGGATATGCTGGAAGCTGTAGCCGCAAACCTGCACGCAGGTGGCTCAGGATATTGGTCGTTCCCGCACTGGACCGAAGCAGCAGTGAAGTCCGGCAGCATCCTGAGTGACTGAGCAGCCCTATTCAGGATCGCACTGCTCACCTCCGTAGTGAGGAAAGGGTTAGAAAAGGTACCCTAAACATTGTCTGCTTTAAAACATCCTGGCCAGCCTACCGCAGCTGGCGGGATCCCGTACTTGCGGTCGAAAAAACAAAAAGAAAAACAAATAAAACGAAAAAGACCAAAGTGATACCACTCACTGTTGACGCCTGGAATGTGCGCACATTGATGGATACATCTGGATCAAAAAGACCTGAGAGACGCACCGCCCTCGTGGCCAGAGAGCTAGCCAGATATAATGTAGATGTTGCTGCCCTTAGTGAGACCCGACTGGCTGATACTGGACAAGTGACTGAAGTGGGTGCAGGTTATACATTCTTTTGGAGCGGACGAGGCCAGGAGGAGAGACGTGATGCTGGTGTTGGTTTTGCAGTGAAAAATCACCTGGTCAACCAACTGGCAAGCCAACCCAAGGGGATAAACGACCGTTTAATGTCTTTACAGCTCCACCTATTTGGTAAAAAGGCGGCCACCATCATCAGTGCCTATGCCCCTACCATGACCAACTCTGATGAGATCAAAACCAAGTTCTATAATGACCTGGAAGTCATTATTGCAGCCACAGCCAGCTCGGATAAACTCCTGATACTGGGTGATTTTAACGCCAGAGTTGGAAGTGACCATCAATCATGGAATGGAGTCATTGGTGCACATGGTATTGGAAAATGTAACAGCAATGGTCTTCTACTGCTGCAAACATGCTCTGAATTTGACCTGCTCATCACCAACACGATATTACAACTACCAAAGCGCAAGAAAACTTCATGGATGCATCCCCGATCACACCACTGGCACTTGATTGATTATGTCATCGTGAGGAGAAATGACCGGCACGATGTCAGGGTGACCAAGGCAATGTGTGGTGCTGAATGTTGGACTGACCATCGTCTCATTATCTCCAAATTAAACATCCGGATTAAGCCTAGCAGACGCCCACAAGGACAAAGACGTGTTAAGGGTCTTAACATCACTCGCCTACAACAGAAACACACTAGACTGGCCTTTGTTGAGGCTTTAGACCATCACCTGGAGTCTCTAAGCTTCGAGCATACAGACGCTGAGGCAGATTGTACTGCTCTCAAGACCGTACTGCATTCTACAGCCCTTAAATCACTTGGTGTTTCATTACGTACACATCAAGACTGGTTTGATGAGAATGATGCAGAAATCCGAGCACTCCTTGACGAAAAACATCGCCTGCATAAAGCATATCTGAATTACAGCAGCTCAAGTTTAAAGAAAATTGCCTTCCTCAACATTCGCAGGACTGTTCAGCAGAGACTCAGAGTCATGCAAGACGCCTGGCTGTGCGCAAAAGCTGAGGAGATTCAATCTTACGCTGACAGTAGCAACACCAAGTGCCTCTATTATGCACTCAAGCAGGTCTATAGTCCGCAACACCCAGGAACTTCATCTCTCCTGAATTTAGATGGAACAACACTCCTTACGGAGAAGGACAAAATACTTGAAAGGTGGGTCGAACACTACACCGCGGTCCTCAATCGGCCATCATGCATAAATGAGGAGGCAATTGCGAGATTGCCTCAAGTTAAAATAAACCAGTCCTTGGCTGTTCTACCATCCACTGAGGAAACCAGCAAAGCCATAACACTTCTTTCATCAGGCAAAGCTCCAGGGTCCGATGCCATTCCAGCAGAAATCTACAAGGCTGGAGGGCCTCGCTTAGTCGAGAAACTGACCGACCTATTCCAGGCCATGTGGAAATTAGAAGCCGTTCCCAAGGAGTTCAAGGATACTACTATAATCAATCTATATAAAAGGAAAGGCAATCGGGAGGACTGTGACAACTATAGAGGCATCTCCATACTATCAGTTGCTGGCAAAATCTTGGCAAGAATCCTTCTGAACCGCCTAATTGTCCATCTAGACCAGGGTCTGCTACCTGAGAGTCAGTGTGGTTTCAGAAAAGACCGCGGAACCACTGACATGGTATTTACTGCTCGGCAGTTACAGGAGAAATGCCAAGAACAAAATGTTGATCTATATATGGCTTCCGTTGATCTAACAAAAGCATTCGACACAGTCAGCCGGGAGGGCCTATGGAAAATCATGGCCAAGTATGTATGGGTGTCCAGACAAGTTCATTGGCATTGTGCACAATATCCATGATGGCATGATGGCCAGCGTCAGAGATCAGCAAGAACTCTCTGATCCGTTCCCAATCACAAACGGGGTGAAGCAAGGCTGCGTTTTAACGCCAACGCTCTTCAGCATGGTGTTTTCTGCCATGCTGCAAGACTCATTCCAGAATTACAACACTGGGATTAACTTCATCTACCGTTTTGATGGTGGGCTATTCAATCTGCGGAGGATGCAAGCCAAAACTAGAGTGGAGGAAGTCACTGTTCGAGAACTCTTGTTTGCTGATGATTGTGCTCTGGCTGCTGGCTCAAATAAAGATCTACAGGACAGTGTGGACTACCTCTCCTCAGCTTGCAACAACTTCGGCCTAACAATTAGCACAAAGAAGACTGAAGTCTTATACCAACCTGCTCCTGGGAAACCCTATACTGAGCCAACCATCTTTGAGAATGGGCAAAAGCTTTCTGCCGTTGACAAGTTTATTTACCTTGGTAGTACACTGTCTCGAGCTGTGCACATAGATGATGAAGTCAACATCAGGATTGTCAAGGCCAGTGCAGTCCTTTGGACGTCTACGTGACTCGGTATGGGAAAGGACTGGGATCAAGCAGGAGACGAAATTGAAGGTCTACCGGGCTGTTGTTTTGCCAACTCTTCTGTATGGGTGCGAAGCCTGGACAATCTATCAGCGCCATGCCAAAAAACTGAATCATATCCACTTGAGCTGTCTGAGGAAACTGCTGAGGATCAAGTGGCAAGACAGAATTCCTGACACGGAAGTCCTTAGCAAGGCAAATATCCCCAGCATCTACACCATGCTTGCGAAGGAACAGCTTAGATGGACTGGTCATGTGACTAGAATGTCTTATGTGAGACTTCCAAAACAAGTCTTCTTTGGCGAGCTGAAAAATACGATCTTTTCGACATAACTTTGGACCATATTATCTATTCTAGCATAAAGTGTTCAGTCTTTGCTTTATAGGGGAGAGTGGGGTAAGATGAGCCAGTGGGTAAGTTGACCCACCCCCTGTTTCTAGGCAACTATGCACATTTGGTGTCATGAGACCATACATTCTGAAGGACTCCATCATTTCTATTTTGCTGTGAAGAGGAGATGCACTTGGGACAAAATGTAAGTGTTTTTTTTTTCACAAAAACACTTTTTTGCTTTTTAAAGTAAATTTTCTGCATTGCAGGTATACTAGCTGTGCCAAAGCAATATTGTCAACATATAAAACCATGTGAATTATTAAGCTAAAGGTTAGCCTGAATTGCTAAGGTAGGCTGTTTTTACCAAAATGGTGACTATGGGGTAAAGAACCAGTGGTTCAACTTACCCCTAACTTAAGGCACTAAAGTTAAGATAAGTTTTAAGCACAACATTGTTTTAAATATAGTATTGCACAACTGTTAACCATACATTATACATTGCATAAAAGCTATCATGCCAAGAACCTACAAAAGAAGAACCAACTGGGGCTCAACACCCTTAGAAGAAATGGAGAGAGCAGCCATTGATGTTGAGGGCGGAAAATCCATCAGATCAGTGGCGAAGGATAGAAATATTGACAGGTCAACACTGCGGAGATACATAAAAAAGGAGGTAAAGACAGTCAAAACAGTAGGGTACAGTGGAACAGCAGAAGCCAAGAGGGTCTTCACATTAGAGGTGGAAAAGGAGCTTGCCGATCACATCAAAAGGTTGGCTGAGCAGTTCCATGGCCTCACTCCATAGAAATGCTGTGAACTGGCATTCCAGTTTGCACAAAAAACAACATCCCTGTCCCCAACAACTGGAAAGAGAAAGGTCTAGCAGGTAGGGTGTGTAGGAAATTACATTATTCATTAAGACATAAAGGCTGAAGTGAAATTAATCATGAAATTAATTAAATCTATTTTGTTAGGTCGAGATTGGTTCAAGAACTTTATGGCACGCCACCATCTTTCCTGTCGTATGCCTGAAACAACACCTTTAGGAAGAGCTACAGCCTTCAACAAAACTACAGTCGGGGAGTTCTTTGACAATCAGACAAAAGTGATGGACAGGTGACAGAATTAATTTATTCCATAATATTAAAACAAATTAATTAATTAACAATTTTGTTGTGTGGCCACTGGTTTACTGAATGTGAATTATTTTTTTTGGGTTATATTTGTGCATGTGATTTTTGTGACGTGCCCTATTTATTCTGTGTTTGAGTCTGTTGCATTTTTTTGAGTTATTTATCCCAACACCTTGATCCTGGACTTTGTTGTCCCCGGCCCTGACTCTGTTACCCAGAGGCCTGAATGTCTTTTTTCTGTGTGTCTATTGAGAGAACAAAATACATTTTCTATTTTTATAATACTCCAGTCCCTCTCTCTTTCCTTTTATTTCCCTTTATTGGGATAGCCTGCTGATAAACATTTAAAATTCTGACGGTCGCTTAGCCGCGAGCGTCTGGTTGTGATAAGGGCCCCAACAGGTTACACAAGGATCCTGACTGATACACCTGAAAAGCAGGCAATAGAAATGGAACATGAAAAGAGAAAAAACAAACTGAAGGGGAAACAAGTAGCCAACATCAAAGAACAAGGAAAGTCCAAGAAGAAACAAACCAAGAAGAAACCCCCAGTGTACAGCAGCTCTGAGGAGAGTGATGTTCCCATCCCACTTGATGACAGTTCTGAGTGTGACAGCTCCCAGGATGAAAGTAGTGAACCAGACATCTCAGATCTGTCAGTTTGTGGCTTCATTATTGTGAATTTTGCGACCAAATGCAACAGCTACCATTATATTGGCCTGGTTGAGAGCCTTGAGGGCAATGAAGTTAATGCAAGATTCCTCAGAAGAATCAGAGGGAGCACTAGCAAAGACAAAGCCACCTTTGCATTCAAAGAAAATGACGTGGGATCTGTCCCACTGAATGATGTGCTGAAGAAGCTCCCTAAACCTCGAAAACCCCTGCAGCCTTGATGGACGGAATGTCCAATAGTCATTTTCACTGTGCTGAGGTCTGGAAGTTCAAACTGTTTTTTTGTTCTCACAAGTTCAAAACTGTGAAACTGTTTAACAAAATTGGAAATTAGAACTAAACACACTGGAGGGACGTTCTTTCTGCCAAACGTGTGTGTGTGTGTGTGATTGGACATGACTTGATTAACAGCATAAGAAATACAGCATATAACCATATTTCTTGCTCCTGAAAACTATGCTGGCAGTCCTTTAAATACAAAAAATAAAAGATTAAAGAAAATTAAACTTTAATTGGTTTGTTTTGTGTTGTTTGAGGTAGCTTAAAAAAAATAACATTGTTTGGAAAGGTAAGTGTATTATTAATTTTTTTTTTTTTTTTAAGAGGCAAGTTATTTTTTTTTATGCTTGCATAAAAACGTGAAAAATAGTATGGTCAATTTACCCCAGATGGCTCAATTTACCCACTGACTGGGATCAACTTACCCCTAGCCTGGGGTAAGTTGAGTCACATGAACACTTTTTTTCTGAGGTCATATTTTCAAGGCTTTTTGTCATAGGTGCATCCTTATATTTTCAGTTGATAGGCAACACCCAAATTAACAGTAGATGTCTTCATTGTACTTTTATCTCAATTTCCCTTGCCTGGAGATCCACATAAGTAAAAACTGGCTCATCTTACCCCACCCTCCTATTTCCCAGGCATATAAATGTACATTCATTGACATATGTCAGGAAACCCGATTCCTGGCCCGATGTCAAAGACCATGGACCACTGGTTCTTTTGTGAGTTGTAAGAAACATTGAGTCCAACTGTCTTTACTTTATAATCGTTTGTTTTAATCCCGTTTTCGCAGTTTGCTGCAGAATGTTTTGCCACTCAGTCCTGCTGGGGGGCGTGTTCTGGCGGAAAACTGACGTCAATGCATACTATCGCGAGAGTTGGGCATGAGACGGTTACCCTTTCAGCAGAGAGAGGCGTGGTCACCTGGCACGTGATGCTTTTCTCAGCGCTGGTCAGGACGGGCCAATAGCAGTCGTCTTTGATGATATTTCATTGAGTTTGGTGTCACAACTCACAGCTAGCTCAGTATGCTAAACACAACGTAAACTTTTCATTATTATTTTTTTTTCACATCTTACTATCAGTGATTGTAAGATTGCTCATGTTTCCCCTTCTGAAAGACCGATACATTCAGCTCTATATGAGCTGGAGTAACGTTAACCGATTATAACACTAACGTTAATTGTGCATGTTTGTGGTAAAATGCATATTTTGATGAATCGATTCGTCAATAAAATGAACAATAACATCAGCAGGCTGCATTGTAATCCATATGAGGGTAAGTAACAACATTCACAACTCCTAAACAATATTTAATACTTGATTATGGAATAATATCATCGGAGGCAAAAGGAAAATACATCTGTTAGTAAAATATGTGCCAGTTTCTTAGAAATGTAATCTTTGTGTTCATGTTGGTTTCATATGCAAAAATAGATGCCATTTTCAGAAACATTTGAATTTTAAATGCTAAGTTAGTGTACATAAAGTTAGTGTAAGTTAGTGTACATATCGTAATATCTTATTTAAAAAATGTTTAGAAAAATATGTGTTTTTTTTATAATACATTAATAATTTACAAATGAATCTCTATATTGTTCATCCTGCCCTGAGCTAAACCTTGCTCTGTCATAAAGTCAAGTCAAATGATCTGATATTTGAATGTTTTCTTTCCAAGGATCTCAACCTTTTATTGAAGTTTTCTTCATTATTAAATCAGGACAGTTGATATTTGTGACTTGCAGAAAAAAAAAATATATATATATATATATATATCATTACATGTGTGAGTTGCATTTTTAGTCTAAGAATAAATGAATATGTTGTTGATCGTACATATGTTTACTGCTGAACTCTTGACCCTATGTATACTGAAGAATACGATTTTCAATAAAATATTTGCATATGAACAATTGAAGCTCACTTTTTTTGTATGACTTACATGTTAGAACATGATGATGATCTAATGTCTTTGTGGTTGATTTTAAGCATTATTAGTATTATTGGCAATTGACTAATCACAAAACATTTGACAAACATGTGGTTAATATGACTGTCAGTAATGATTGTGCAGTTTGATATGATTTATTGACAGATGCGTCAAGGGTTTTGCTGAACTCGGGCTGTCAACCCGTGAGCCAGACCAAGAGAAAACACCATGAGAACGAAGACTCTGACGAAGAGCACATGATCAAAATGAGATCGCACCTGTACGTTTGCTGCCGTTACGTTGCAGACAGCTTTTGCTATAGAATTGTTAAATAATTTAACTTAAAAAAAAAAAAAATTCGTGTGATTTTCTTAGAAGAAATCCTGGAGATGCTGTGAATGCGGAGTCATGGAACCGCAGTGCCTTTGGAGACGTGTCCGTGAGCCGTCGTGTTTCCCCAGCCATGGAGAAGAACACACACCGCTCACACACACTGCTCAGTCCTGGGTCCCGCTCGAAGCCCCAGCAGGTCAGGCTCAGCGGCCACACACACCGCTCACAGGGAAACACACTCTATGCGCACAACGTTCACTTAACTTGGATATGATTCAGTTTTTTGGCATGGCGCTGATAGATTGTCCAGGCTTAATGTTAAAAAACATTTCAAAGTGTTTAAATGCATTTTTTTGTCAGATGGTACAACCAAATATTTTTTAAATATATTCCTAATTTTATTGTTAAATTTTAGTAAAGTAACCCTTAGAGTGTCTACAATGCCTAACACATTATTATGTTGGGCATTTTATTCATATTAATTTCTAATTATTGCATTCTAGTAGCCAGGTATTTAGTATCTTTAGCATCTGAATTTACTTTAAAAGATAGAAAAATAATCATACAAGTATACCAGTAAATGAATTGAATCGTGTTATGATTCATATTCATATTATATTCATTATTTTCACATCATATTATTATTATTTTAGTCCTGCAATATACAATTCATCTATGATATACATAATTTCAAATGGAATCTCCAAATTAATAAAAACAACATAAAGACAGTATTTTATGTTTTATTTATTTTTTAATACTTGTTTAATGGAATCGTTTTACTCAGCACTATTAATAAAGGCCAGTTTTACCTTATGTTACTGCTATGTCTCTCTTTTTCTCAATTTCTGGGGAAGATGTGTCTTTGGCTAGTTTACGGAGTAAAAGTGTCCTCTTAGAAGGGTAGCGTGACTGTAGTTGAACTACTTTAATACACGAGTAGCTTGTGAATCAGCAGTTTCAGAGTAGCTTCGCCAACACTGGTTCTCAGTCCCACTTTATATTAAGTGTCTTTAATTACCATGTACTAACATTTTAATTGATCATTTGGCACTTATTGTGTTCATACATGTTTTACATTGTACTTATATTTAAAAAAAAAACACTTGTGTTTTGAAAAACAACATGAACCAGTACATCATACCTAACAATCTCTTTATGAGTACATGGTAGTTAAAGACACCTGGTAACGCTTTACCATAAGGTTCATTAGTTAACGTATTAACTAACATGAACTAGCAAGACATGTGTTACAATATTAATTGATCTTTGTTAATGTTAGTTAGTAAAAATACAGCTGTGCATTGTTTGTTCATGTTAGTTCACAGTGCATTAACTAATGTTAACAAATACAACCTTTGATTTTAATGATGTATTAGTAAATGTTGAAATTAATATTAACTATGATTATTAAATGTTTTAGAAGTATTGCTCATTCTTAGTTCATGTTAACTAATGAACCTTATTGTAAAGTGTTACCAGACACCTAATATAAAGTGTGACTGATGGTTTCTTTGGTTGATATGATAGTGGCATCTAAAATTATTAAAAAATTATCATCATGGAAATAATTGAAAACATCTTTACCTGAAAAATAACTTTTTTAGAATAATAATAAAAAAATAGAATAGTAATAAACAAAGCTTGATGTATATATAAATGTATTATTTATTTAGCTTAAATTATGTTTTTATTTCATATAGGGACATTCATTGCAGTTGCACCACCTGACTTTTGCAGCTATTTTTACACTGAACAGGCTTCTACTGAGATACCTATGCTTCCAAGATCAGACAAAGACTTTTTTTAATGCAAGAAAGAAATGTATGATAAAATAGCATTTCCCTAATTTTATATTTGTTGTACCACCTGACATGGAAAGTGTACCAACCTACCCGCACTTGAAAGTAGCAGTTTTTATCAGTATTTGTGAGAGATCTACAAGCCTTTTCTCTCTGGCATTGTCACTTTATAATAAAAGACCCATGTTTGCAGTTGTGCCACCCTGACATTTGACAATATACTAATTCCCAGACAAAAGCCTGAGTTTCTCCCAAGCTTTCCACCCCCCAAGTTGGGTTACACTTAATATTCAACAGTATTATTGATCTGAATGCACTGATACTATTGGATGACATCACTAGTTTTTGCAGAACTGCTTTATAGATGAAATTCACTAATTTATTAATTGATGATCTTTACAACAGAACTGAATCAACAGACTTGGGCTGAACGAACACTATGCTCTTGTAGAGCTGCTGTACAAAAATGAACACTTGCATCATTCATCATCATTTTCCTGTTATCACTGTAAAGCTGCTTTAAAACAATTTGTATTATATAAAGCGCTATAGAAATAAAGGTGACTTGACAAACGTTTTTAAATGATCTCAACAGCTTTAAAACTACTGGTATTTATACAATTTGTTTAAATAAGAGGTTTTAAAAAAAAATGCCATAGTATTTTATTTTGAATTTCTTATTATTAAAACAATACTTTCTTAGTCTGTTCATGTGTGCGGACGGTTTTGCCACCTGACATTTTGGGGGTTTAAAGGGATACTCCACCAGTTTTTCTTATTAAACTATGTTATTCCCTTAACTAAGACGAGTTGATACATACCTCTCTCGTCTCAGTGCATGCACTATATCGATCTGTATTGCCGCAAAACTATGTTAGCACTTAGCTTAGCCCATGCATTAAATATGGGCCTAGCAGAGAAGCGACCAAACACTTCCACGTTTTCCCTATGTAAACACAGTTACTCGAGTAGTGTAACTTGACCTGGGCTGGTGACACAAAATAAACCGTTGCGCTTTTCTAAGCGTTTAAAATTGATGACTATATTGTATGGCGGAATACCATAACAAGTGCTTTTGAGCAGTTCGACTTGGCGCAATAATATCTTCACTAGTGAAAAGTCCTCTTACCGGCTCCCGCTTCCTCTCCCCCTCCCTCTGACATTTCCGTCAATACAACCAACGTGACATGCGCCGGTAGTAGTAGTTCGAGCGGAGTTGACGAAGTAACAGGTTGTTGGAAGCTAGTTAGCATTCTAAACAGCACAGGCTCTCAATTTCGGTCGGCATCTGTTCGCAACAGTCACACTTGCACCACCAATTGCTGTTTGCCCGTGGTCTTTCGCCAGCTCCGGTCTGTTCTTGATCATATCTTTCTTTCCTCTCACGGTCCATAAGAGCTAATTCCTCCTCCGTGTACTCGGGTTCAAACAGATATGGCTCTGGGTCTTCTACAAAGAAGTCATAATCATCTACAAAGTCCGCCATTGCAAATGATCTGCAGTTTGCTAATAGCACAGGTAGTAAAAGCCACGTTGGTTGTATTGACGGAAATGTCAGAGGGAGGGGGAGAGGAAGCGGGAGCCGGTAAGAGGACTTTTCACTAGTGAAGATATTATTGCGCCAAGTCGAACTGCTCAAAAGCACTTGTTATGGTATTCCGCCATACAATATAGTCATCAATTTTAAACGCTTAGAAAAGCGCAACGGTTTATTTTGTGTCACCAGCCCAGGTCAAGTTACACTACTCGAGTAACTGTGTTTACATAGGGAAAACGTGGAAGTGTTTGGTCGCTTCTCTGCTTGGCCCATATTTAATGCATGGGCTAAGCTAAGTGCTAACATAGTTTTGCGGCAATACAGAGCGATATAGTGCACGCACTGAGACGAGAGAGGTATGTATCAACTCGTCTTAGTTAAGGGAATAACACAGCCTTTCTCAAAGTGGGTGCCGCGGCACACTGGGGTGCCCCCTGACTTTGTCAGGGGTGCCGCCAAAAAATTACGTAGGCTAAAAATATATATATATATTTGAATTTACATAAATACATTCTTCTTCTTTTTAAACATATGAACGTATTAATAAAATTGTAAATTCATTTTAGATAAATATATATATATATAAAATTAACCATAAAAATCCGTCTCACAAGACCGAAGCAAGACACACACACAACTTGACGCAAGTGACGCAACCCATAGCAACGCGTTATAGCAACAACACCGACCGCGCGTCACACAGCAACTGCAGGCTCTGACAAACACACATACAAACTATACTATACTTCTGCATAACGTGTCTCTTTTTACAACAAAAATGTGAATTCTGCCGGTATTCAGACAGTCCCATGCATACAGATACAGATCCGGCCTACAATCGCCTACGTAGGCGAAATTTGTTTGACATTTCTAATCGTAAACACAGCCATGTTGAAGCCTGCAGTAATGTTTTTCATTGATGTTATGGCAGTCCACTCTGCTTATTGTTTTTCGAGAATCTTGCACTCCTGTTTGTCATTGTGCACGAAACTTCATGCCAATAAATCATCAGAAATATTGCTGACTTGTGCGCGTCTCAAGCGCACTCTTTACGCTCGTGCTAATGCCTGTTAGTTGTCCGTGGATTTGCCTATATTTGGCGCTGAAAATGGAAACGTCCTTAGACATGGAAAATCGATTTTACAATCGATTCAATGAACGTTTATGTCTCAAAAATCGATCAGGATTTTTTCACAAAAGTGATAGCCCTGTAAAGTTGTTATTATTATTGTTATTTACAGTTCGTATTATGCTCTGTTCATTACTGTTCTGTCTAAATAAACAGGACATTTGCATTTACATTTGGGTTATTTTTTAATTTATATTTTACACTGGGGTGCCTTGAGATTTTACGCACTTTTGAAAGGTGCCCCGACTGAAAAAAGTTTGAGAAAGGCTGGAATAACATAGTTTAATAAGAAAAACTGGTGGAGTATCCCTTTAAGATAAAAAAAAGAAATCTCAAGAAATCAAATGAGTATGAGATGTAAATACCGACCGCGTTATGGAGGATAATCAGATATTTCTTTTAATTGTATTTTTAACTTGTGTGTACTTCGCTCAAATAGGCCAGATCCAGAGAAACTGGAGCCAGGCTCAGGTGTAACTATAAGCGGAACCGTTCGGCCCGACGGTGGAAAGGCTGTTGTGTGACGCTGTTATCCACCTTATTCCTACGCCCCATGACGCTTTGCGCGAATTATGGGTGTAACTTCCGTTAAGCTGTAAACAATCAGTGAAAGGCAATACGTTAAAAAAGTGTCATAATGAGAAGACATTAATCTACTCACCCTTCAACCATCGAACATTAAAAGGAAATTTAAAAGTGCACTTTCAACAGACCAAATAACCCCAAAAGCGCGATTCTTTGGTTAAATATCACTGTAGTAGGTATATAGCCTGTATTGTGTAACAAGCCTTAATCAAAAATATTCATTAACTTCAGCATTACGTTATACTATTTCAAATATGTGATTTCCGTCATTTTGACAGATTATAAATTGCATTTACCTGTGAAAACAAACCTGGAAAGAGACGTGAGGATTTGAGGAGAATAACGAGAGATTCTTAGTGCATTCCAGTGAATTATTAATGGACTATATCGTAAATTAAATTCGGGAGAACGGACCACAAATGTGCCGTATATATGTTGTCCTTTTTCATACTTTTACAGCGGATTGCAAAGGAAAAAAATAAAAATAATCATGAGGAAAAGAAAGCAGCGACTGAAATAGATATTCTTGTTATAACATGTCACGTTAAAATACCAGTATAACGTTATTCTCATGATGTCTGAAAATAAATTATGAAGGAAAATTGACAGCTCATCCAGGCAAACTGACGGATCAGCTTTATTTGTAGGGCAACCTTATGATTTGAAATTATTCGTTTCAGCCTTTTTGAATGGAAGTTCCCAAAACCAGAAGTGCCACCCATAATTCAAAACGCAGTTAGGTCGTCAGGAATACGGTGGATGTGATGTGTTGCTGAAGTGTGGATATGCATTAGCATGTAGAATTGTCATATTTCCGAACAGAACCGCCCCTCTGTGATCACCTGTGCTCCTGCCAGCCGGCCCTGCAGTCTGTCCAGCTGCCACATGTGTCCCCATGCCTGCACATCTGCATCCACCAGCCAGACCACCGGTCGCTCATCCACCACTGACTGCGCGATCACAAGTGTGTGTTCTGAGTCTGAGTGAGCAGCACAGCATTACCAGCTGGTGTGGTTATAAATCTTACAATAAAATCACAACGTCTTCTCTTTATCCATTTGTAGGTGATACATGAATGATTGATTCTTGAAATGGCTCCCATGGAAATCCCTAATGTGTGCAGTGTTTGTGGTCCCCTGATCACGTGATCTCTCTGTTCCTCAGCAGACTCTGAGTGTGACCCTGTGATCGAGGAGCATTTCCGGCGCAGTCTGGGCCAGGTCTACGAGGAGCCCGTCTCTGACCTGTCCATCACAGGCTCCGTCGACGCCCACTTCACTAAAGCACTGGGGGACGCCTGGACACAGATCAAAGCCCGGGGCCACGCCGGGACTGACCCAAACCACGAGGGGCGCTGTTAAACCCACTCAAGCTCACACACCTGAACCTGCTCAGGTCGGATCACTTCAACACCCACACCATTGCAGCATTCATTTCAGTACGGCTTATTGAGCTATAAATAACTCTTTTTAACAACATGACATCATGACTTTGCGTAAACATACACGCCACTTTCAATTCAAGTGGCGTGTTATCTATACGCATTTTGAGCTATCCGCGTGTATGTCCACGCCGAAATCTTTTGCGTGTATGTCTACGCCATTAAACGTCCGAGTGATTCCGCGTGTATGTGTACGCCGTTAAATGTCCGAGCGAAACGAAGCAAAATCTATATCTACATCTGTGGAGCGATATTTCTTTTCCTAGGATGGTAGGAGAAGACTCATAAATGGTATTAACCCCAGTGACGGGTAGGTTTAGGGACGGGGTTGGGGTAGGTCATATATTTATATGTACATAATACAGTAATATAACGTTAAGTCAAAGGCGTTGATAAACACGCTGAAAAGCGATTATGCGTGTTGATAGCACGCCAAAAATGGAAATACGAATTGGCGTGTCATACATACGCCATTTCATGAGATCAGTCTGCTTTTTAATATGTCATGCTCTTTATATTTCCCATGTCTCTGCATCTAATGTGTGAATAACTTTAAGCAGAACTGCCAACAGAAAGCAGTGAGAGTATAATGGACTGACACTTTGTTGTGTCAGAGGAAACCTGACATGAAAAATGGTAACGTTTGACTTATCACTTGTTCAATAAAGTCAAATAAATGAAAAGGCGTTAAAACAACTGTTAGATATTACTAAAATGAATGTTTGATTTAATTTAAGAATGTGCTGCCTGCTTCTTGGACAGACAAGCCTTGGTCTGGGTCTCGAGGATAGGTCTTGTTCTGGATCTGGTCTTGAAGGGTCTAGTCTTGGTCTCGAGGATAGGTCTTGTTCTGGATCTGGTCTTGAAGGGTCTAGTCTTGGTCTCGAGGATAGGTCTTGTTCTGGATCTAGTCTTGGTCTTGGATGGTCTGGTCTGGTCTTGAAGGGTCTAGTCTTGGTCTGGGTCTTGGATGGTCTGGTCTTGAGGACCCCTTTGCTATAAATGTAAACTTTGAAAATGATGGCCAACCAAAGAGACGCTTAATTCTAGTTTGATGAACATTAGAGTGTGTTTGTGTTTTCCAGTAAGTGTCATTGGTTGAGGTGTTTCATGTTTGAGTTGTTGAGCTGGATTTGGTAAGAGTCATGATCTATCAAACAAACGTTCAAGTGCTTTTAACTAATTGTGTCCAATGTTTGGAAACTCCAAAATCAGTAGAAAAAAAAGAAAGATTTTTATTTTATTGTTTGTTTTGCATAAAGAAAATGAACCCAAGAACAGAAACATTCTTTTTTGTGCTGTGACATTATTTTCATGAAATCCTCCCAAAATACTCAAAGTACAACAATTGCCACCACGATAAATGCTTACAGCTGCGTTAAGATATGATTAATTGTCATAAAATAATGTTAAAGAAATCTAAATGGTTCCAAGCAAACTGCAATGAGCTTGTTTTTTTTTTGGCTCTCCCCTTTCTTTAATGCTTTAACACTCTTGGTTTTACATTGTGTTTCTACTCTTCACCCATTGACATGATGAAGATGAGCAACTGCTGGACAGTGTTTCTGTGTGTGTGAAGAGTCATGAGTGTGTCAGCGCTGGTTGACACTGACACATGCAGCATCTCTGGCTTGAGCGAGTCTCACTGCCATGACACATTCCTGCAATGATCAACAAAATTAAATCTAGCAAAGTGTTTTTTTATATTTCCGATTAAAATTGTATAACACATTGTTTTATCATGCTGGCATTAAATGACATAAACTCAGCCAACACTGCTGTGAGTACTGGGTTATTAATCGAGCGGCTGAGACAGTTACTGTAAACGTGTGTGTGTGTGTGTGTGTGTCTGTCATAATGCAGGATACACACTAAATGATTTAATTTCCTCATCTGTTGTCTTTCTTTTGTCCTGTTGTGAAGCAACACAACTTTTTTTTCGGGATGTAAAATATGACAATCATTACACTGTGTGTGATGAATAAATGTATAGTTCCTCATAGCAAATAGTCTGTCATTAACTGTTGTGTATGCTCATCTTTTTTACTTGTAATGTAACCGTCAGTTGTTCATTTAGATGTCATAGATGTAATAAGTGTTAACATGTTGAGCCATCTTTGCTAAACTGGTTCTTTAGTGTTGGATTGAACAAAGTCTCATAAATTGCCTGTTTGACATGGGTAGAGCTACATTATATATAGTAATATAACTAATCTTGAAATGACAGTGGCTTTGCCATTACATTCAAGCGCTGAATTTATTTGTAAAATAGATCAATACAAATGTAACTATGAATGTGAAATTGATTTGTAACTTTGTAACTTTCTTTTTTCTTAAAAATATTTTTATATAGTAAATAAAATCACTTCAAAGCAAACAATAATGTTTCTTGAACATTTTCCTGCACCCACATGTCACTATTTAGATGTAGCGTCAATCCCATCAAAACCCTCTACAGGATAATGATATTGTTTTATGCTGTATTGGCCTCTCATGGAGATATCATTCATATAATAATTGCATTTTGTATTGTAAAAACATGTTAAATTTAGTCAAGTCTACAAATATGTGGCACAAGCAGCCCACACACATGAGACCTTTAAACTTATATATTCTGGATTTGTAATGATACAGATTTAATGAGTTCAGTGAATTCATTCAGCTACTGATAACTATATTTAGCAGTTTTATTAGTCTGTAGCTATTACTTCATCTGGATGCTCATGTTCAGGTCAGTGTGCGGTTCATTATCCAGCTGTCTCTCGCCTGTACCTCTAGTGCTGAGCAAACATGTTTAATTGACCAAAAATACAGTAAAAACAGTCATATTGTAAAAAACTTGTTTTCTATTTTAATTTTATTTTAGAATGTAATTTATCCTGTGATGGCAAAGCTGATTTTTTAGCAGCCATTCTTTAATCTGTGGATGTTACATGATCCTTCGGAAATCATTCTAATGTGCTGATTCGCTGCTCAAGAAACATCAATGTTATGTTTTTGCTGCTTTCTGTGGAAACTCATCCTCCTGGGCCTGAAAAGGCGGAGAAAAGACTTGCAAGACCACAAACTGAGAACAGAAAGAAAGAGGTAGAAGCGACCTTAGGAACATTTCCTAATTTAGGTCAGAACACAACTAACAGCAGCATCCGAGAGCAGCATCCACACACACACACACCGAGTGTGTGAGTGACTCGACCTAGAAGACCCGTCATGATCAGTGGCGATAGAAGAACACATGATTAATCACACTTTTAGTGTAGCCTAATGCATTGATGCTTTCAAGAACTATACTTTCTGATACATTTAATGTTTAGCTTTCAAATATAATTACTATATTATCAGGATGATCTGGTTTCAGGAACTTATAGACAAGTAAACCCTTTTGCAAGAAGGAAAAAATAGGAATATTATATATTGTAAGGAGGCACAATTGACTAGATGATTTTGTATTTGTGGAAATGACAGAAAGGCATCTGGGCATTGTACAGGGGTTACAGGGACAAACAACAAGTGAGATGTCACTAGATCAGTGAGTGATCTGACCTGAGTGAGCCAGCAGAGGTCAGTGTAGACCTAGCATTCAGAGATTAAGAGATGTATTCTCATTCATTATCACAATTCTTAGATGTATAGCTATTATTGATATATATCAAAAATAGCTATTAGAAAAGCTTTGTCACCAATACTATTAAATATTGTACAAATTAAAACATTTTTGAATATTGAACCTTCCCATCCACCACTTTTTCTTCCCCAGAACTCACAGGAGCAAATGAGCTCCGGCTCTCCAGCATCAGGAGTGATCGGAGGAGATTTCCCAGCAGACGAGCTCGTCTTCCCACTTCCTCACAGGCGAGCAGGGGACAGGCTTCGGCACATCTCTGTCAAGGACACGGAGAGACAAGCTTCAAGTGCACACAGCCTGATTCAGGCCCTTTATACGGTGTAATATCAAGACAATACATTTAATATTCAGGTCATGTAAAGAGAGAGAGAGCAGAAAATGAGCACATACAGGGTGGCAAAACACTGAAAACACGTTGTATTGCTGTGTGTGATGAGAGCACACTGATTTCTGTAGAAGAATGATGCATCATCTGTGGTTGTGAATGTACAGCTTTACCATCTCACCGTCTCTAGGGTGAGACCGCCACTGGATTTGCATAATTGCTTGTAGATTATTTCAGCAGTGTCCAGCGTTCTGGAGAGGATGTGTCCGCGTCCTAAGGGAAAGCACATCTAAAATAGATCCTATAAGGAAGTGCAGAGCCTGCACAAATGTGGGATTGTGGCCTGCAGGAAACCTTGAGTCATGCTGGCAAGATCCGACTCCTGCGGCTGACAGCATACCGTGGCCTATTGCTGAACACATCATCTCCACATTCAGCGCTGGTCACCATTGCTGAAGACTACAGTTCACAAACCGTATGCATTGGTGTGTACTGGGATGCGTCGAGAGGTTCGCAGAAGACTGGCCTGATGAGGAACCGGAGCTTCATTCATTGTGTCAGCGGCACTGCTGGCAATGGCATAACCTCTATGAGACAACACGGTCAGCCCGGATTACAGTCTCAGCAGGCACACAAACACACCCTGTCAGCCCGCCTCAGCATCAGCTGGGTTTCAGCCGGCGTCTCTGCCTATCGCCCTGCCTCCACACACTCGTGCCGGATCAGCACTGGCTCGCACTACAGTATTGTGCTGTCATCGATCTATAGATGCAGCGAGTGGATTGTTTTAAACTATATATCAGAGATTAAAATGATTCATATTTCTCCCTTTCCCTTTGATATACTTATACACAATGCATTCAGAATTTATTCACTTCTTTTTTCATATTTTATGTTGTAGCCTTATGGTAAAATGCATTCAATTATTTTGTTTTTCACGTCATTCTACAATTCATACCCCATAATGACACAGCAAAAAGAAAAAGAAAAATATGGATGAAATTCAATTGACCGTTCGCAGGCCCCTCCCCCAAAACGGCTATTGTCCAATCACACATCATAGCAACCGTTACTAT